GGACAGGGAGAGAGATAGAGAGAGAGAGAGAGAACAAAACAACAAGAAAACCATAAAAAATAACAAATGGCCGGAGTGCAGCATCCACAAACAGGTTTTTTAAATCCATGGCTGGACCACCTCGCGAGCGACATCTTGGAGCTCAGTATTGGAAGGATGTCTCAAGCGAAACGGGCCGTTCTACCTCTCGCTTCCCGCTGGGTCCTCTCGTGCAACTCCCTTCCTCCTCCCTCCTCCTCCTCCTCCTCCTCCTCCTCCTCCTCCTCCTCCTCCTGCCTGATCCCTGCTCCTCCTCCTCCTCCTCCTCCTCCTCCTCCTCCTCCTCCTCCTCCATTCCATCTCCTCCTAGTCCTCCTCCTCCTCCCTTCCATCTCCTCCTAGTCCTCTTACTCCTCCTCCTGCACCTCCTCTTCCTACCGAACTGCATCTAGGAGCTCAGAGTTTCGAACATGTCCAAGGCGAAACAGGCTAAGACACCTCTCGCGCGGTATATCGGAGCTTCGTGTTGCGAGGATGTTTCACGCGAAATGCATCGGACCACCTCGCGCGCGGCGCATCTCGGAGGTTAGGGTTGCGAGGATGTCTCAGGCGAAACTGGCCGGACCACCTCTCGCGTGGCATATCGGGTCCCAGAGTTGGGAGGATGTATCAGGCGAAACGGGCCAGACCAACTCGCGCGCAGCATCTCTGAGCCCCGAGTTGGGAGGATGTCTCAGGCGGAATGGGCCAGACCTCCTCTCGCGCGGGAGCTCGGAGCGCCGAGTTGCGAGGATGTCTCGGGCGAAACGGGCCGCACCACCTCTCGCGCGGCATCTCGGAGCTTCGAGTTTCGAGGATGGCTCAGGCGAAACGGCCCGGACCACCTCGCGCGCGGCGTCCCGCAGGCCAGACGTTCGAGGATGTCTCAGGCGAAACGGCCAATCCCGGCCAATTCAGAAACGAGAGTTGTGAGGATTTCTCAAGCGAAGCCCAGACAACCAGATTTGTTTGAAGATGTCTCGGCTCCGCGTTCCTTCTGCCGGAACTAACCACAACAGCACCCGTTCAGCAAGCTATTTGGGGAAGAGAGAGAGAGAGAGAGAGAGAGCAACAAAAAAGAGAAAGAGAGAGAGAGAGAGCGGGAGAGGGGAGGAGTGGAAGAAGAAGAATATGGAGGAGGAGGAGGAGGAGGAGGAGGAGGAAGGAGGAGGAGGAGGAGGCAGGAGGAGCAGGAGGAGGAGAGATGGTTCACCCGTCGCTGGCGCAGGGGGTCGAGGCACCCGCCCGCCCAGGCAGCATCATCAACGGCTTCGCGTTGCCCCTCAAGGACGAGCACAAGGATTCCAGCCCCTCAGCCCCCTCCCTCCCCCGTCCCCCCCTTCCACCTCCTCCTCCTGTCCCTCCTCCTCCTCCTCTTCCTCCTCCTCCAGCTGCCATCGAGGCCCAAGATATGTCAGAGCAGCAGCGAACCCATATAGTCATTTCACAGCTCGTGGAGACAGAATCGCGGAGGTAACGGCCCGCACTGGCAAGGCAACAGCGAGGATTGCCTCTTCCGCTGTTCCTTTCGCTTTGCATGTTTACGCCCCGATCGCCACGCGCAGTGGTGCTTGATGGACGGCAGAGGCACCATGCAACGAAGTGGATTTCGAGCCCACAGAAGCGCGCAAGACGCAGACTGTTCTTACACTGCACTTGGCAGACGCAGCTGGACTACCTCACCTTCGCGGCGCACGAGGCGGAGAAAGATTTCGACGAGCACTGCCTCGACGACATGTTCGCGGCGCCCGAGAAGCGGCTGAACTTCACAGACACGGGCGCGATGTTGGGAACCCAGGGCGCAGCGAAACACTGTAGGCATACCAACTACGCGGAGCAGGACGGGACGCTGGGCACAAAGGACACCGCGGTGCACGAGGAAGAAAAGGATTCCGCAGATCAGTGAAGGACGGTGGGCCACAACGACCTCGCGGAGCGACAGTGCTACGAAAGCCAGGGAGTGGCGCTGAGCACGAAGGACACTGCAAAGAGCGAAGAGCGAGGAGCAGCACAGCGTCGCAGACTAGGAGGAGACGCCGAGCACCAAGGACGCCAAGACGCACGAGGAGCAACAGAGCGTCGCAGCAAGGGACGCTGCGCTGGGCAGCAAGGGCGACGCGGCGCAGGAGCCACGGCAGAGCTGCGCAGACCAGGACGAACCTCTGTGCACAGAGGGCACCGCGAAGCACGATGAGCAGCTGAGCCTCGCAGACAAGGGGACGACGTCGGGCAAACGGGACGCAGTGCTGAGCGACAGAAGCTCCGAGGCGCGCGAGCAGCAGCGCAACACCGACTAGGACGCGACGCTGGGAACCAAGGACACCGCGATCCTAGAGGAGCAGCAGGGCTTCGCAAACCAGGCGAAGACGCTGAGCACCAAGGACCCCGCGGCGCACGAGAAGCAGCAGAGCTACGACAACCAGGACACGACGCTGGGCATGCAGGTGCGCGAAGATAATAATGCCCATGCGGAGCGCGATATGCCGCACGCTTTCCTAGACCCTAGACCTCGTATACGACGCGTCGTGGGTGGGTGGGGCGTCTCGAGGATGGGCACGTGATAACGGCCTCGTGGACGCACGTATGTACACCAAGCTTCACGAGTGGATCGAGGAGGCCGTCACCGAGTGGCTCCCCTACGGTGTCTTCGAGCGGGTCGACAGAGGGGGCATAGTAGGGATAGTCGGGGCGTGCGGCACCTTGCGTGGAGACGCAGCCAGCACCGAAGAGTAGCAGCGCAACACCGAGAGTGACGAAGTGGGTGCCGACACAGAGTGGGAGGCAGCTGGCTAGCAGGCATCTGGAAGGGGCGGGTGCCACCTTGCCCGCGTACCTCCGCGCAGGGAGAGCCGACGCAGGAAGGGCCAGGACGCCGATCAGCGCCAGCGACCTCCCGCAAAGTGAACGCAGCAAGGCTACAGTTGCACACTTCAAGGCTACGCAGCATTGGTAGCAGAGCAGCAGCCCCGAAGTGGTCCGAATGCTCGATCGATCGATCCTCCTGCACCTTTTTTCTCTTGTTCCTCCTCCTCCTCCTCCACCTCCTCCTCCTCCTCCTCTCCCTCCCCCCCCCTCTGAAACCCTCTTGGCCCGACGTGCCCCGCCACTGCTTTTTGTTATCCCCTCCGCACCCAACGCGGTGCGACCCAGCAGATGGCTGACATCTGCTCGGCGCTGAGCATTGTGAGGCCCTGGGCCCCTCATGGCACCGGCGCTGATCCTTCTCCTCTTCCATGGCCCCTCGCCCCCCTTCCGCCTCCCATTATTTCCCCCCTCCCGTGCCGTCTCTCTCCTAATCCTCCCTCTCCTCAATTATGCGATTCCTCACGTTGCCTCCTTGCCCTTGTCTCGTTCCGTCCTGTCCTTCACCCTCGTCCTTCAGCAGCGCGTTTCCGCTTCCTCCTGCTCTTCCTCCATGAGGGGGGCTTAATCGGCTGCACGTAAGTCATACAATGTTCGCCCGTCGTTCGTCCGCCGCGCGGCTAGTGGGTAAGCCCTCCAAGTCCAGCCCGTCGTTCGCCGCGGCCGCCACTTGACTCGGGAGCGCGCCGTTCGTCGTTCCTCGACGTCGTCTATTCTGGACGGGTTCCTTCCGGCATCTGCCGTCGTTCGTTCAGTCGCGCGCCAGAGAACCGCCGCCGCCGGAGCCCCGTCGCCAGCGGACTGGCGCCACTAGGTCGGAGCCTCCACGCCCCCGTCCTCCCCCGCCCTCTACTGTTTTGCCTCCGCTGCCGAAGATGTGCCAGATCCGCCCAAATTCGATGCGAAAGGGAAGGGGGGGACCGTATTATCTGAGAGACTTCGGCGCTCAGTTGCTCGTCGTCGTCGTTGCCTCTTCCAAGTGTTCTTCGTCGACGCTCGATCTTCGGAAATGTTTCCTCGAGAGGCCTCATGGGTGGTCATTGAGGTATGTTGGAGGACCGTTTGGCGTTTTGGGGGGTCGGTTTCCCGGGCCCCCTCGCGGATTTTAGGGGGTCTGGCGGGCTGTTTCAGTTGGCCTTTGGAGGTTCGTTGGGGTTTTTGTCCGGGGCCTTTCGGAGGCGCGCCAAGGGCCTCCGCGGGGAATCTTGGGGCCGTCGTGGGATGTCGGGTTCGAAGGCGCCTTCGGGCTTTTCCTTTTGGGGGACCCTTTTGGGGCCCTTTGGGCCCCGAAGAGGTTTTCGGGCAGTAACCTGGGGCGGTCTTGGAGGCCCCAGGTGCGTTCTCGGACGGGCCCCTGGGGCCTCGCACTCGTACGGCATATTCCACGGAACGTTTTTTGTCCTAAGGTTGTTCGTTCGGAGTGACATGTTCTTTCGTTCGTCGTTCCAGCCGGGTGGTTTGGTTCGATTCGAGCAGTATTCGTGCGTTTCTCGGCGGGGTGAGTCTGTGTGTGGTGGAGGAGTTGTTGATCGATTTGTGCTGGACTTACACATTGTGCATTTCTTTGTATTCGAAAGTTCTTTGATTTTTGGGGGCCAAGATCCTTTCATTTCTAATTGTTCTATCCTGGGCCTCTTCCTGGCCACTAGGGGTCCAGGAACAATTAGACACGAGCACAATTAGAAATTGAGCACGGGTAGAAATAAACGACGTGTAGATCTTTCGGGCCGGGCGAAAGGGGGGGGATTGGGAAAGGGGGGGGGGTACGAAATTTGCTGCATGCAGCTGGTTTCGGCCTCGCCGAGGGGCCATTCCTCGATACGTAGCCGCCTCTGGCGCCGGGAGGCGCCGGGAAAATCAGCTACGTGAGCTGATTCTCACCCCCCCCCCTTTGCTATCCACCCCCTTTCGCCCGACCCAGTCTTGTGGAGCTACGAAAGTTGAGTTGTCGTTACTCTCCTGGTTTGCAGGTCCAAATGTGTTTCCTCCTCCTCTCCCCTCCTCCTCCTCCTCCTCCTCCCTCCTACCTCCTCCTCCCACTCCTCCCTCCTCCTCTCTCCTCCTCCCCCTCCCCCTCCCACTCCGTCCTCCTCCTCCCCCCCCCCTCCTCCTCCTCCTCCCCCTCCTCCCCCTCCACCGCTCCTCCTCCTCCTCCTCCTCCCCCTCCTTCCTCCTCCTCTCCTCTCTCCTCCTCCTCCTCTCCCCCTCCTCCTCCTCTCCTCCTCCTCCTCCTCCTCCTCCTCCTCCTCCTCCTCCTCCCGCCTCCCCTCCCTCCTCCTCTCTCCCTCCTCCTCCTCCTCCTCCTCCTCCTCCTCCTCCTCCTCCTCCTCCTCCGCGCCGTTCCTCTTCTGCCGTCTCCCCCCGGCCGTCGGAGCGCGCCCCTTCGGCGAGCGCGCGCCTGGCGCGGGCCTCTTGCGCAACGGTGGGGACACTTTGGGGGTATCGGGGGCGGCGTTGGGGGCGCCTGGGGAGTTCGTCGGGCCGCCCAGGCGGATCTTTCAAGCAGCGGCGAAGCGCCCTGGCGCGCCTCTAGGCCTACCAAGCAAGGTGTTCTAAGAACCGCTTGTGGTTTCCACGAGATGATGTTCTTAGAGCCTTTCTGGATGAGACTGTCTTGTGCTAACACATCGGGCTCATGTTCTGAGAACATTGTTTTTGTTCTTAGAACGTGTTGGGGTTCTAAGAGCATTTCGCGGTAGGACTACAGGAATGCCGGGACGGTCGCCTTGTTCAAATCAAGGGAGGTAGAAGGAGGAGGGGAGGAGGAGGAAGGAGGAGGAGGAGGGGGAGGCGGGAGGAGGAGATGAGGAGGAGGAAGAGGAGGAGGAAGAGGGAGAGAGGAGGAGGAGGAGAGAGGAGGAGTAGTAGGAGGAGGAGGAGGGGAGGGGAGGAGGAGGAGGTGGAGGAGGAGGAAGATGAGGGGAGGAGGAGGAGGAGGAGGAGGAAGGGAGGAGGGAGGAGGGAGGGGGATGAGGGAGGAGGAGGAGGGAGGAGGGAGGGGAGTAGGGAGGAGGAGGAGGAGGAGAGGAAGGAGGAGGAGGAGGAGGAGGAGGAGGAGGAGGAGGAGGAGAGAGGAGAGAGGAGGTGGGGGAAAGGAGGAGAGGAGGAGGAGGAGGAGGAGGAGAGGGAGGAGGGGAGGGGAGGTCGGGGACGCACGGGGCAGTCCTGGGGCCGTCCCCGGGCTTTGGGGCCGTCTGGGGGCACGAGGTGGCCTAGCACCGGCTCTGGCCAGCCGGAGGGGCGGGCAGCTTCGAGGCTCTCGCTCCCGCTCCATCACTATCTTGGAGATTCCCCCTCCTCTTCCCCCTCCTCCTCCTTTCCCCTCCACCTCCTCTCCCTCCTCCTCCTCCTCCTCTCTTCCCCCTCCTCCTCCTCCTCCTCTCCCCCTCTCCTCCTTTCCTCCACCTCCTCTCCTCCTCCTCGTCCTCCTCCTCCTCTTCCTCCCCTTCACTCCTTCTCCTCCTCCTCCTCCTCCTCCTCCTCCTCCTCCTCCTCCTCCTCCTCCTCCTCCTCCTCCTCGGGTCGCCCGCGGCCCCGGGGGAAACCGTGCAGCCATCGGATCCCTTCTCGGCCCGGCCCCCGTGTCGCAACCCCGTCGCTCGCGGAGGCTGTGTTTTCTTTCGGTTTCTGTCAGAAGGCGAAAACCCACCCCCACCCCCAGTCCCGACGCCCATACCCGAGCCGGCGATTCAAGGGGCCGGGACTGGGGGTGGGGGTGGGTTTTCTCAATTCCTGGACCCTGAAAACCCACCCCCACCCCCAGTCCCGACTCCTTGAATCGCGGGTTCGGGGGTAGAGTCGGGACTGGGGGTGGGGGTGGGTTTTCGCCTTCTCATTCTGGGAACCCTTGCCGGAAAGCAGATCCACGGCGAAAAGCTGCGCCAGGTGGGCCCCAGAGGGGCGCGAGCCAAAGGGTGTTTGGGCGGTTTCGTGGACCGTTTTCGTTTTGATTTCGTTTCGCAGCAAAGCCAGTACGAAGACAGGACGAAGGAAACCGAAAGCAAAACGAAAACGAAAACCACTGTTTAGCTCGAGCCCTGCCCTCTCCTTGCGCATGCCTCAACCAGTTCGGAATCGCCTGCCGCCTCCAACCTTGGCCTTTCCCGGCCAGTCTTGCGTCAGCTTGGGCTTTCCAGGTCCCTCCTTGCGCATCGGTGCATCCGGGTGCTGTGTTGTCTGTTCGGCGTGACGCTTCGAGGTTATGTCGGGCGGATGAAGCAAAGGCAGAGTCCCCACAACGCTGCGGCTTATGGCAGCTCTTCTCGCCGTTTCGATACATGTAGGCCTGCTTTCTGTCGTTGCCGTTTTTTGGAACGCAGCAGACGGCCCAATAAGGCAATTTGTTGTGAAAGATTCCATTCGCCTTGCGTCGAATGTCCTGCTACTTATTGGTGAGATGTTTGACTTGCAAGGATACGGCTTGAGAGCAGAGCGAATCAGTTTGTCAGTTCCGGACCATGCATTCTGAAAGAACTCATTGTCATGGTAACCTGGTTTGGTGACGAATGCGGTGGCCAATCTTTTGAGGTAAGGCATAGCGTGACACAATCAAACAGCATACAGTCGGGGCCCTGAAGAAGGAACCCTGTTTGTTGGGGAGGGGCTCGGTGTTCCTTGATTGTTTTACAGTTTGACTTGGGTTTTCCTTAGGTTGTCAATGGTACATCGAAGTTTAACTTTTGGGAAAAAAGGGGCCTCGTTCCTTATTTAGGGTTCCTTAGGTCAACGCCCCGACTGTAGCTCAAAGAAGTGTCACACTTCGTGCTTGGGCAGTCAAGACCTCCTTCGCCTTGTCATGCCGTCTTTGACATCCTCTCGTGTTCTTCGCCCCTACACCGTGCAGATACGAGTCTCACAGTATTGCTTCTGCACCAGGAGTTCCTGCTGAAGTCGCTGATCCCTCTTCACAAGGTCCGCTAACTCGCCTCCGGAAGGGGAGCCCAGCCACGTCTTCTGCGTGAGAGAAGTGCCCTGTCCACTCGCTCGAGCACTCGTCCATATAACGTGGTCTGGATCCTGCAAGCGCACTCACCTACGTTGTAGCGGGTGACCCCGCCGAGTTCGATTCGTTTCGCCAGCTTGTTTGGCGCAAGGTGGTTCGGCGGCGTCCAAGAAGGGGGTGATGAGAAAGGGGGAGGTAGAGGTCATGGCGGCGGTCATGATGTACGTCTCCGGGGATTTCATGGACCGCTCTTCTCATGTCAATGCCTCCTCCGTTCCCCCCCCCCTCATTCGTGCACTTGCCTCCTTCCTTGGACGCCCCCCCTTGGACGCCCCCGAACGGACTGGGGACTGGGGTGCAGGGATGGGCTCGTGATGAGGAGGAAAATGAAGGAGGCGGAGGAGGAGGAGGAGGAGGAGGAGGAGGAGGAGGAGGAGGAGGAGGAGGAGGAGGAGGGGAGGGAGGGAGGGAGAGAGGGAGGGAGGGAGGGAGGAGGAGGAGGAGGAGGAGAGGAGGAGGAGGAGGAGGAGGGAAGAGGAGGGAAGAGGGAGGCGAACATTAGGAGGAGGATGAGGAGGAGGAGGAGGAGGAGGAGGAGGAGGAGGAGGAGGAGGAGGAGGGAGGAGGAGGAGTGAGGGAGGGAGGGAGGGAGGGAGGGAGGGGGGAGTGAGGGAGGAGGAGGAGGAGGAGGAGGCGGGGGAGGAGGAAAGAGGAAGCGAAAAGGGGGAGGAGGAGGAGGAGGATGAGGAGGAAGGAGGCTTGTTCGGTGATCGTGATCATGCGTGCTTCGTGATGGTTACTCGATCCACAGAGGCGCACAGGCGGAGCAGAGGCATCTGCAGCGAGCATGCGTGCCTTATCAGAATGCTTTTACCAAGATTCGTGCGCTGCTCTTCCTCCTCCATCTCTTCCTGCTTGTCTTTCCTTATTCTGTCCTCCATCCTCCTCCCCCTCCTCCCCCTCCTCCTCCTGCCCTACGGAATTCTATAGGAGCCGTAAGGGATCCCATCGGAATCCGAAGGAATTCCATGGGAATCTAGAGGACTTGTATAGGAACCCTAAGAAACTCTATACGATAAACGGCATTCCGTCGGAATTCTCCGGAATTCCACAATAATCTTGAAGAATTCCTTTCGGGATCCTAAGAACGACAGGGATCTTAAGGAAGTGTATCGCATCCCCAGAGAAACCCATCGGAGTCCTAAGGAATCCCACGGGGATCCGAAGGAATCCTCAGGACTCTTCGCATGGAACGAACGGCGGAGGCGTCCAGGCACGCGCCCGCCGGGAGCCTTGAGACGGGGGTCAATGCAAACGGGGGTCAGCCAGAGCGCCTAATCCTGCATGATCCTGCAGGGCCAGGGTCGTATTGACTTGGGTTTGGGCGCAGGATCCTTCAAGACCCTGCAGGATACTTCAGATTGACCCGGGCTTGGGTGCAGGATCTTTCAGGATCTTGCAGAATTTTGCAAGGCCTGACTGTTCCGGGTTTGGATTCACTCAGGTCAGAAGATCCCCGAGCCACGGAATCTGGAGGATTCCTCGCACGGAAGAAACGCCGGAGGCGTCTGGGCACGCGCCCGCCGGCGTCGCGGTGCGCTGCAGAATTCGATCGGGTTCCGAAAGAATTTCATCGGAACCCTCAAAAAAACTCCATAGGAATCCGATGGGATGCCTTAGGACTCCCGACGGAATCCTTAGGACCCCTCGCACGGCGCGGCCGCCGGAGGCGTCCGGGCTGGCGCCCGGCGGCTCCAAGGCGCGCTCTCTCATATAGGAAGCCCACGGGAGCCCCAAGGAATGTCATAGGAACTCTAAGGGATGTCATCGGATCCTGAAGGACTTCCATCGGAATCCGATGGTATCCCTTAAGACTTCCTCGGGGATCCTAGGAACTCCTCGCGCGGAGCGAACGCCAGAGGCGTCTGGGCCAGCGCCCGTGGACTCCACGGTGCGCTGTTCCACATAGGAGTCCGGAGGAATCCGAAGGAATCCCAGAAAGGCATTCTATCAGAGTCCTACGGAATTCTTGGGGATTCCATCGGAATCCTCAAAAATTCCATCGAACCTCATGGGACAACGCAGGGTTCCATGGCACTCCCACACGAATCCTTAGGCCTCCTCGCTCTGGCCTCCTCGCTCTCCTCGTCTTCATCCTCCTCCTCGTCCTCCTCCTCCTCCTTCTCCTCCTCCTCCTCCTCCCCCTCCTCCTCCTCCTCCTGCCCCCCCCAAACCCGCCGTCCCTGCCTGCGGGCCGCTGGGCGTCCTACGACAACGAGGACGAGGAGGGGGGAGAACGACGACGAGGAATCAGGGAGGAGGAAAGAAGACTGCGACGAGATGGGGTCGTCCATTCCCCCTCCCCTTCTGTATCACGCAGAGGTGGCGCAAGGCCACCAGCACACGCCACGCATCACACTCGGACTTCCTCCACTCCCTTGGCCCCAACGACGACGAGGAACGACGAGGAGGGAGGGGGAGAGAGGACAAGGAGGACGAAAGGAATCGGAAGGCTTGTAGTCGTCCGGGGGGGGGACGCCCGACGACGCCGACGACGACGGCGCCGACGACGAGGGGGCGGCGCTTCTCGCTGTCGTCGGCCCCTGGACGCCTGTTTCAGCCCCAGGGCAGCCTGGCTTTTTTGCGCGACGCTACAGAAACAATGCCACTGTATGACAGATGGCGTTGGCGAGTTTTTTCTTGTCCCTTCCAAAACTCATCCTCCCCTTATTTGGGGGACTTCTGTGTTGGGAGGGCGGGTGGGTGGGAATGAGCGAGACGGCTTGCG